TTCGATCGAGATGTGTCACTGAAAATTAAGTTTTCTGATTCGACATTTATTTTTTCTTGATTTTGTGCATAAACCCTAATTTTTCATATTGTTTAGAATTAGCTACTAATACATTCTCTGTTTGTGTTTCTTGTGAGGAATTTGTTCTTGGTGAACAACATTGAATGATTGGACTGCTGGTTTGGTGTCCTGCAGAGTCTCCAATTTTCCTTGTTTGGTGCTGGTTGTTCCAACTAGTTTGGTGAAATCTTCTCTAACACCCTGCATTCTGTGATTCTTGATTGTGCTATTACTGCATCCTGAATATTGTCACTTCCCCTAATTTTCCCTGTGTTGTATGTCGCTTCTGGTATTGAGAATTGAGCCTTGACCTGGGGTCTTGAACCTCACTAAATCCTGGTGAATTCTAACACCTGGAATTAGTAGAATTTTTTTGATTATTAGTCTATTTTGATACTCAGTAGCTTTATTCTTTGTGAATTCCTTTTTTTTTTGTGATTTTCAGACCTGTTTAATCTCACTGCCCATCTTTGTGATTCTTTGAGTTTATTAAACAGTCTATTATCACTGTTATATACTACTCACTAGGTTGATAGTCACTTACAGTCTGATATTTCTTCATTCCTGGTTTTTTAATTATACTGTGACTTGTGTGATATTAAATTGTTGATTGAAATATCTGATTACTGTTTTTCCTGTGGGATTGTAACCTCAAAAATTCTTTGTCTTGATTAAAAACTTCAAATGACAATGGCAACATTTGAACTTGGAGTTTTTAATGGAAAATGGGATTTTCCCATTTGGTAGCAAAAAATGAGAGGGGTCTTAGTTTAACAGAAAGTCTCTAAGGCTATAACTGGTGAATTTCCTGCTACTATGACTGATGATCAAAGACTTGAATCTGATGAACTTGCTTATACCTCTATAATTCTTCATTTGTCTGATCAAGTGTTGAGAAAAGTTGGTAAACTTGATAGTGCTAAGGCTTTGTGGGATAAGCTAGAAGA